CGGCCTTTCCACATCCTTTGATCCACCTAATCGTCTGATTTTGCCACCTGCTTACAGAATCACAACGTGAAATAATTCGTGCGCGATTAATTAAATTAGATGAACAATTTGACAATGTTTATAAAAGAGTGGAGTTATAAGGATTAGTTTGTAAGACATTAATCATCAATATTTGCAAAAACCATATGTACCTTCAACCGAAGAAAGGGCTAACACTAGAAATATAAACAAAGTTGGAGTATGTTTAGACATGTTACTTTGTTATAGGTGAAACGAAGAGTTGAAATAATTAAGATTTTGTTCCTTCTCTTGCTTATTACTATCATTTATGCGGTTTTATATATCCATAAAGTGTATGAAATCTAAAAGGTATATATGTACTTTGAAGATTTGAACAACCTACATATATATTTTGTTGATAAGATTATGGATTACTTAATAATGTTATTACATGAATTGAGGTTAAGGTACTTTGGCCGTGGTTTTAATATGGATCTCATCGATTTTTTGTTTTTGCTTTAGAAATTTATGCAATTTTAATTAAAAACGTTTAAAAGTTGACGTATTTATGTTTAGACTTTCGAATAATATGGTTGAGATCACTTTTGTATACGTTCTTTTTAGGGAGATACTACGGTCCCGTTACGGAACCATTCCGTCGGATTTGTAATCGTTAGATTAACTATTCCCAATAGTTACATGATGATCTAACCGTTACAAACCCCGACGTAGTGGTTCTGTAACTGAACCGTAGTATTTTCTTTTTTTAAATGGACTTCTCTAAATTTGACTACTCCAATGGTCTCCATACATTGTTTCTATAGGTTGGACTTTTTGGATAAATAATTATCTATAAATTCATATTTAATGCTATATGACTTCCTCAGGTGCCACTTTAGCATAATCTAAATTGAATATCTAAAAGAAACTCAAATTTAAAACAGACAAATTTCCAAAAATCTCATTGGAAAAATGCAATTTTCATCCACTAACTTTTTAAGAATGTAATTTGGTATAATACATTTTATTTTGTGTCAAAAAAAAAAA